CACATTATCTGTTAATGTAAGAGTGGCTCTGAGCACATGTTCGATAGGAAATCGAGAACTGAACGGTTTACATTTCCTTTTGGTGACTGTTGTAATTTTGTGTCGGATAAGAGGAGGGAATTCTTTGACCGGACGTAAGGTCCTGGCGCCGTTCAACTATCGTACATACATAGCCTGCAATTTAAATTATATACAGGGTGTCCCATGGTTTAACTGCGTGCTCTTGGGATAATTTTGAGTCGAAAAGTTTAAATAAACAGGGGTCTGATTGGCAACGGTTTGTGAAGAAATAGAGAATGGACATTTTATAGCATTTGTAAGTTTTACATTATTTCAATATAATTTTAGGTCTCATTATTATTATTATTATTACATTTTTTCGCCACTTTAAAAGGTATTTATTTCTACGTACCCGAGACAGACCTTGCCTCTGAGGTACATAGTGCAGCAGCTATTTCTGAAATACATTTTGTTTTTAATATATTACATGTATTATATAGTTTTATTGTGGGGGATGACTGTATATTTTACATAAGCGTCTTTTATTCTTGCTTAGTGAAATAATTTCTCTAATACAGCCGTTGCTTAATGAGTGAGGAGAATTTTATTGACAAACTGTTTTATAGATCGGACCCACGCTTATTTAAACTTTTCGACTCAAAATTATCCCAAGAACACTTAGTTAAGTTATGGGCATTCTGTTGTGGGACACCCTGTATATGGAAATGAAGTCAAGGCTTTCTACTTGCGACTAAAATCTGTCAACTGTCAGTTTCTGTCAAACAAACTAATCACTGAAAAAGAAAGCAATGTTTAAAACCTGTTGTTCGTGCGTTGTACTTTAGTAGTAGAAATCAGACAGTGGGAAGCTCGCAAATTGGACTGTGAGGAAGGCAGGTGAGAGCTCACGTATAAATGTTATTTTACGTTGGATTATACGCGTTTGGTTTACGCCGTGTGCGATCTGGCGTTACAGTGGACCGTCGTCGGACAGACTTCAGTGTATTTCATTGGCTGGGGATAAGTTAACGCTGCTGTGGTAAATCGAAGTAAACAAACTATAAATTTTGTATTTATTTATGAATAAGTTGCGTGATATGATAAGGAATCATAGGATAGTTAGGCATTAAAGTTCTGTGTAAGCAGAAACGAATAAGTTGCGTGATATGATAAGGAATCTTCGGATAGTTAGGCATTACAGTTCTGTGTGAGCAAAAACATTGAAATAAAAGGTTAGCACTCAATCGTATCGGATGCAGATGTTGGTGGAACGCAACTTGGAACGGGAGATTTGCGTTTATATGAAATCGGCAATTTCTCGCTGCGTACTTACTCCCCCAGAATTTTTCAGGATGCCCGTCTGTGTTGCTACGAGTTCAAGTCTTTTTTAAAACTTAAGTCTTCTCTCCATTCTACGGTGATGCCTTAGGGCAATGTCACAGACAGTAAAATACGGGAGAATATGACGCAAGTTATCGCGGGTTACAGCGTAGGCGAGACTGAGACAACGCGGGTTACGTGCAGTTTGAGGGACGAGGAGGGGGTGAAGACGGGGAAGGAATAAAACAAACGAAGATGGCGTCTTATGGGTTGTAGTCTGGTGTAAATTTTCCGTTTCACTCATCGCCCTGATGATGGAGGCAGCAATGACCTCCGAAACGTCGGTGGGCACGTTCATACATTCGCTTACGAACAATAACACAGCCAGCTCAGGGCTTTCAGATAAATGTCGGCCCTCAGCCTTGCAACTTAATCCCTCCCCTAGGAACATTATATTATGATTATTAAATATTAAATATAAGTATTAAATATAGCAGCCAAATACATTCAAACCCAAAATAGAAACAATATTATACACAACGAATAATAAATGGAGAAATATAAATTAAAACAAATAATCCACCTAGGGAATATTAAAATAAATTTGTATCTTATATGCGTCATGTTTGTGTTTGATTAAATATATTTATTTTGTACAGTCTATACACAAACGTTTGAAGTTTATTGGTGTTGAAAATATAATATTTTACACAACAAAATGTTTTAATATTATATAATTTTTACAACGCCAATAAACTTCAAACGTTTGTGTATAGACTGTACAAAATAAATATATTAAAATAAATGTAAAACGTTAAAGAAATATAAACAGACAACCTATCTAGATCATTTCCCTTAACTGAGAACGTGTAATAAATGCGATATGACGGGAGGGATAAGGTATCCTGAGGACGAATACGGCGGTAGAAATGGTAATAATCAAAGCGAGGTTAGCGACGAGAAGAGTGATTAAGTGAGACAGGAGGCGGGTTTTCGGCATTTATTCATATCCTATGAATTTTCTATACGTTATCCTCTAACATGTAAAAAAAATGTAATGGTCTGCCCGCTGCCCAGTCTTGTGTCAGAGGCTCCTAGCGGCATTTATCTGCACTACGAAATTATTCGAATTTCCCAAGAAATAAATACGAAACATTTTGGGGGAAAAAATATTTTGTTATGCCGTAAATATTGAAGCTAAAAGTATTGATTCAGAAAGAAATAACGCTGTATAAAATGCTATACACTTTCTGTTTCAAAAGAGTTCACATCGACCTTTGGAATGCGTGTTTTGGACAGCCCTGACGAATTCCTGTCCCCCTCGTTCGAGCTTCCATAAATCGATTGTGATCGATTGTTACCTTTCGCCTAGTTAGGACGATTTCTGTGAAAGACCTTGGCCTTTAGAGCGTCACCTCACGTTCAGGGAGTCCCGGGTTTAAATCTCGACCTGGAGACTCAGGTATTTCGCGAATTTCCCTTCCTGTGGAGGGAAATGCTGGCTCAGTGCCTTGCAGCACGCCATGACCGCTCCCTTCCACGCCACTCTGTTATTCAGTGCCGTTAAAGTAAACAAATGATGGCAGTTCCGCGCAGAGTGCAGTAATCAATAGTTCTGCTTTAGTGAATGGTAGCGAGCGAGCGCTGCAGTCTGACAGAGGTTGGGGAGGGGGTACTTAGGGGTACCGACGGAAGGGGGGGCGGTATTCTCCAAAATTTCGACCCAGAAGTTCAGTTGACGTCATAGGAACAGCCGCTCTGTGATTGGTTGTCAGCGTTGTGCGGGCGGTCAGCTCTGCTGCTGAAGATTTGCCCAATTTCTGACTTTTAAAAAATATAATTGCTATGCAGTGCTTTATATACCCTGTTACTTCCTTCCCCTTATTTTGTAAATACGAGGAGTGATACTGCTACGGGAAGCGGTACGAATATTTACGAGGAGTGATACTGCTACGGGAAGCGTTACGAATATAGTCCTGTCTGAAATTCCGAAGACTGCCGAAAGTAAGTCCCGAACGGAACCGAAGTGTTGGTAGTAGTTGAACTTGGGGTTTACGGACCATTTATCTGCGGATCGAATGTAGGCTAGGTCATTCTGTGCCCTGGCTTTCTCTACGCCGGTCATACACACACACACACGGAAAAGCAAGACATATATTGTGTATCCGGGGTTCGAATCCCAGTAATTAGATAGAAACACAAGTAGCATTAGGAACAAAACTTTATCACCAGTAGAGTAGCTTAATTGTAATAACGAAATACGTGCAGTAGTATTTAGCAATAAAACAGAAATATTTAGTAGATAATTCTTGCATTTCTACTTAATATCTAACTAGTAACACTTGCACTAATTTTTCCAGTGTCTCTACACTTACATTTTTACACACTACTCGTATGTTAACATTTGTAATCGAAGAATTAATAATACTTGCTCATAAAAACACACACTTTCACTTTATAGTTAAAGTATAATAAATAAAAAGGCAACACATTTCTAGGGCAATTATTTGTATTGTTAATGCACAATCTTGAACAAAAGTTATACGTGGTCACGTGTTCTACTTTCAAAGACACCTGTTGGCGTAATCTAGAAACTAGATAAATGTGTCGGTGTTAATAATTGTCGGCAGTTTTCCCACAACAATTACTCAATACAAATAGTGACATCTGTGTCGTGTTCCTTATAAAATCCGTAGAATCAATCTTGTGAGTCGTTAGAAAACAGTTTACGAGTCGTTTTGATTACCGATTGTTACGGACGCCGTCGTAATATTTTAGTCCGGAAGTATTTAACCTAAAACAGTGGACACTGAAACAAGCGACAGTAGTTACAGCTACACGCACGCTCTCTTCTCATTGAACCACTCGCGGACAAGACGCAGGGTAGACTAGACGAACATTCGAGTGGCTGCACCTTGAAGCAACATGGTGCACCTGGAAGACAGTCTTCTAGCGTCTGATGTGCCTCCTCTACCCAGTGTCAGGATCGTTGAAGGTCACCCGTACGTAAGTAGCGAGGAAACGTGTGTGTGTTCAAGCGAGCAGCTGACACTGGATTGAAGCAGTCAAAGTCCAGTTTTGTCACGTGAAGTTTACGTGTGTGTCGTATCCAGTGCAGATATCCATTGTTTCGGCATTTTCCCCCCGGAGACAACAATGCCACGCGTACAAAAAAGCGACAGTTCGATTATTAACAACGTAATGGAACGCAGTGTGTGTTATATGCTGTTGGTCGATACTTTGCATTCGAGAATCACGTGCGTCTGAAATCGATTGTTGATAATATCGATGACAAATGTTTCGACTGCATTGTCCATGCGTTGTAAGAATTCAGTCAAGCCGTGCACGAAACTACTTTAATTTGTAACGTAATAATAGAATTGTATTTAGTTCAATTGTGACATGTTAAAACTGTATTAATTAAGAATGTAATAATTTGTGCCAGAATATCACCTAAGTAGCAGTGCATTGTAACACTTCCGGCTGAACAGATTATGAAGTCTTGGGACAAGCATTTAGATGTAACAGAAGACGTTTATCGTTAAATCAAAATGGGCCAGTCTCTTATACACGGAATGAATGAATTATTACTTCAGTGGGAATTGTGCACATTTAATACGCTGAAACATAAGATAGTTCAGTTTCCAAGCGACATTTAAGAATCAGAGGAACTATGTTCAACCCGCGCCGTGCTGTCTGCTGCGGTTGACAGCAGAACTATGTCGTAAAGCAGATGAGTCAGGTTCCTCCGACCACGGGTAACATCGGTCGCCGTGCCACAACCTAACCTTTAAAGGTGTCCCAGGGGGGGAGAAAACGTCATCCAACTGCACATCCGTTGCGCAAGGCAAAGCAGGGAATCCCTCTCGTCTGTCTGGGGCCTACGACGAATTGGCTGCCGCAGATTTCGAGACAGAATGGTCGTCATTCGACTGTCTATTGTAATCGCAATCCGTGCTACATGTCGAGAGCCACGCCATGTTTTAACGCCCGATTTCAGTTTTCCTGACGCTCGGAGGAGACCCCAGATTTACCGATTTGGAAATTTGTAATATTTGAGTTGAACTCGTATAATTCAAGATAGGCACAAGCGCATGTTTCCAAATTATTTACTGTAATTAATTAAAATTATTCTGTGCTGCAGTTACTTATCACTCTCGTTGTTTAGGAAGATAATATTAAAGTGGGTCGGGTCGGTTGTGTTCACGGTAAGTAGGAAGATGGCTGTCGTCTGGGTTGTAACGCCGTGTAGTCTGGTACAAGTTTACGAACGTTTCAGATGTCCCTGCTGCCTCCATCATTACACGGCGATGCAAACTGGAAGACAGCGAACTTGAGACTCGCTGCCCTCAAAACCTCACATCCGTCAGTAATGAAGCTCAGATTTGCTTAAAACCGGGGAATTTGTCTAATCGCTTCTGAAAAGTGATTTTGGTGCATGGAGTTCGTTAGTTGGCGTGTCACGAAATCAGGCGGTAGTTCATGTCCACCACGTGTCATTAAAATCTCTTTTAATATTATTCTTGCATCTACGTTTAGGCGGAGCGCATGAAACTGTGGAGATGCTGTTATAAATTATTTCTCTCCGAAATAAGAAGCAGTCATTCGCTTATGAAGTTAATCAGAATGTGAGTTAGCAGAGATGCTGAGAGATTAGACAGACTGAGCACAACAACTGACCCGATCTGACTGATGAGGAAGATGGCGGCTTTTCTTAGACGGGAATGAAGAAATGTAAAATGATGTGGAAAAGCTCAGACTGTCAGAAGTCGTCGTGGAATCTGTTTGCCTGAAAGCAGACGCTTGAAAAAAGTGCGCTTTAAATTTCCGACGCTTGAAAAAAGTGCGCTTTAAATTCTCTGTGTTAGGTTACGTTAGGTTAGGTTAGGTTAGGTTAGGCTATGTTAGGTTAGGTTAGGTTACGTTAGGTTAGGTTACGTTAGGTTAGGTT